AGTGCGTAGTCCCTTTCATCTGTCTGAGATACGAGAATCTCTCGTTCTTCTTCTCGTAACTTGAGCAGATCATATATTGATTGAAATATGCCCTCTCGGGCAGCCCGAAGCCCGATCTTCTTAGGCGCGGGCTGCCTAGTGGGCACCGTGGGAGGGGAATGAGATGGACTCGCATTAGATGACAGTCTTGGAGTCAAAGTTCCGGTTGAGATATCATCTGCTTGAGGCCTAGCGAGAACGGAGAGAAGGCCTTCGCTTTGAGCATCGATCAGGACTTGGAGATTGCGTTGTATGTGTTTTGTCTGACGTTCAACGTATAATAGAGGGTCATGGTGGTACATAGAAGCTCCAATCGGAACTGGTGGCAGCCTTTTACCACGAAAAGATTGTTGAAGAAGAGTCGACATAACGGAGAAAGGAGGGTAGATGGCCAAGCTTCAACCAGAGGAAGGGTTAGAGCTTTATCGCGGCAATCCTGGGTAGAAAGACTTTTTAGTAGTTTCAGTCCAAGATCTGACCTATTCTTAACACCATCACCGGATTAGAAAGGCATAATTCATTCGCCAGCTGATGGCGAACTGTTTACCGCGGAGGGGGAGGCCGCTCGCAGCTGACCGAGCGCCATCCACGTGATCCTTCATGTACAGTCACCTCCGCTCAGGCGTTGACGTTGCTCTCGCGCCAGCAAAGCTTCTGACAACTGCTCCCAGCTTCCATTCGTACGTGCACTTCATCCATTTCGTCCCTTTCATTTAATCAACTTTTGTCTTTGTTGTCATATTCTCACTATTTGGGGTGACTGATTCCCCCTTGAAACCTTGTTCTGCGCTGGGGCTGATTCGCTGTTTCAAGCTCTCTCCCGATTGACGTTGCTTCATCACAACAGCAACACAACACCTATCACTCCTCCAACTCCGTCCAGCAAATCGTGACGCGAATCGTTTCTCAATAAAGATGGTCGGACTCGTATCGGCCGCCGGTTTGGTTGGCTTCCTCTCCGAGCCTGACCCAGAGCTCAAGGTCTTTGCTTTGAAGACATTAGATTCTCAGATCGATCATCTCTGGACAGAGGTTGTCAACTCTGTTCCTGAAATGTGAGTTTTCTTCTATTAGACTTGTGAAAATGAGCTTCATCTCCATTGTGGCGTCATTTCTCCCGAGTCCGACCGGCTACTAGGGCTCTGCTGACTATCCATCTAGTGAGGCTCTCTACGAAGATGAATCATTTCCGGAACGTGGCCTTGCGGCGTTAGTCGCATCAAAGGTATATTATCATCTGCAGGAATATAACGAGAGCATGGTTCTTGCTCTAGGCGCTGGAAAGCTGTTCAAGCTGGAAAACGGCGGCGAGTACGAGGAGACCATCATCGGTATGTTGAAGAAGACCCACGGCATTGGCTATCTTTGATACTAACATGTTTCCTCCTGCAGCGAAATGCGTTGATACCTTCGTCTCTCTATCTGCCGCCCAACGGCCTACCGCGGGTGACCAACCAGCAAATCTGAACACTGCATTCCCTGCATCGGGCGACGGTGCCACCAGCACATCGGCCAGCCTGACTTCTCCCATCACACCTTTCTCTAAATCCGCACTGCCCTCGAAATCGTTGCTTTCTCGCGCGGAGGTTCCCGGCGTGGACTCTGCACACCCTGGCGGCGATGACACTAGCGTTCAGCACGAGGAAAACTCCCTTGTGTTGAAACGCGGCGTCCAGGGCCAATTGAAGACCATTATTGAGCGTTTGTTTGAAGCATGCTTCCGACAAAAGCGATACCGTCAGGTCATTGGAATCGCCATCGAGGCAAAGAACCTGGATGTGCTCCGCATGGCCATCCTTCGCGCCAGCAGCGACGAGAAGCAGGAGGAGGGTGACTCCCGTGGCAGCGAGGAGCTCATGGAATACGTTCTGGACATCTGCATGGGAATTGTCCAAGAACGCGCCTTCCGCAGCGAGGTTTGTTTTCCCTAAAGATTTTCCACAACATTTGCCCTCGTCGACTAACCAAAGCTTAAATTTCTAGATCCTCAAACTAATTTTGGAACTTCTTAATGAAATTCCGGCCCCCGATTTCTTCTCGATCGCCAAATGCGTTGTCTACCTTAACGAACACTCGATGGCCTCCGCTATTCTCCGCCAGCTTGTTGAGAAGGGAGATGCGCGATCCCTTGCCGTTGCTTATCAGATTTCCTTTGACCTTTACGACAACAGCACCCAAGAGTTCCTTCAGAAGGTTCGACAAGAGATTGCTGAGCTTGTCCCTGAAGACGAAGCGGATAAGGAGAACAATGAAGAGAACAGCGAGCCAAGAGAGTCCGACGCATTGCTCGAGGACCAAGGAAGCTCTTCCCGGCCATCGGATAAACTTTCAGATCTATCAGAGGGTGCGGTTACTGCATTTAAGAACATTCTTTCAATTCTCGATGGAATCAAGACCATACAGTTGAATTTGGAGTTCTTATACAGAAACAACAAGGCTGACATCGCGATTCTAAACAAGATTCGTGACAGCCTTGAGGCTCGCAATTCTATCTTCCACACGGCTGTGACACTTTCCAATGCGTTCATGCATGCGGGAACCACCCACGATAAGTTCTTCCGTGACAACCTAGAGTGGCTCGGCAAGGCCGTCAATTGGTCCAAGTTCACAGCCACTGCTGCATTGGGTTGTATCCACCGTGGTAACCTCAGCCAGGGCCAGAAGCTCCTCCAGCCTTACCTGCCCCGCGAGCACATCGCTGGGGTTGGAGGCTCAGGATCTGTCTACAGCCAAGGTGGTTCTCTGTACGCCTTCGGTCTCATCTATGCCAACCACGGTGGCATGGCGGTTGACATCATTCGCGATCACTTCAAGAAGGCTACTGAAGAGGTGGTTCAGCACGGTGGTGCTCTTGGTCTCGGTGTTGCGGGTATGGCGACAGGCGACGAGGGAATTTACGAAGACCTGCGGAGCGTTCTCTACACCGATTCCGCTCTCAATGGTGAGGCTGTCGGTCTCGCCATGGGTCTCATCATGCTTGGCACCGGTAACATGAAGGCTCTTGAGGACATGATCCAGTACGCACACGACACGCAGCATGAGAAGATCGTCCGCGGTCTGGCTATGGGTATGGCTTTGATCATGTTTGGACGCCAGGAAGCTGCCGATGAGCTCATCAATGGTCTCCTCGGTGACCCCGACCCAACTCTGCGCTACGGTGGTATCATGACCATTGCCCTGGCTTACTGTGGCACCGGCAGCAACAAGGCAGTCCGCAAGCTTCTGCACGTCGCTGTCAGTGATGTTAACGACGATGTGCGCCGAGTTGCCGTGCTCAGTTTGGGATTCATCTTGTTCCGCAAGCACCAGAGTGTTCCTCGCATGGTCGAGCTGCTTTCCGAGTCATACAACCCTCACGTCCGATACGGTGCCGCCATGGCACTCGGTATCTCCTGCGCCGGCACCGGCTTGGATGAAGCCATCGACCTCTTGGAGCCCATGCTTAAGGACTCGACCGACTTTGTTCGTCAGGGTGCTTTGATCTCCCTTGCTATGGTCCTCGTCCAGCAGAATGAGGCCATGAACCCCCGTGTTACCAGCCTCCGCAAGGCCATGATGAAGATGCTCGGTGACCGTCACGAGGATGCTATGGCTAAGTTCGGTTGTGCCATTGCTCTCGGTATCATTGATGCTGGTGGCCGAAATTGCACTATTAGCTTGCAGACGCAGACGGGTAACCTCAACATGCCCGGTATCGTTGGTGTTGCGGTCTTCGTGCAGTACTGGTACTGGTTCCCTCTCACACACTTCTTGTCGCTTAGCTTCACCCCCACATCCGTGATCGGTGTCGACCAGAAGCTCGAAGTGCCACACTTCAAGTTCCACAGCAACACCCGCCCCAGTCTCTTTGACTACCCCCCTGAGCAACAGGTGAAGGCCGAGGAGGCCCCAGAGAAGGTGAAGACTGCCGTTCTTTCTACCACTGCCCAGGCCAAGCGTCGCGCGCAGCGTCGGGAGAAGCAAGCACGCCGTGAGAGTATGGACATTGACCAAGCGCCCACAACACCTAAGGCTACCGACCAGCTGGACGCAATGGACACTGACGATGTTGCCAAGGAGGAGGAAGAAGCTAAAGAGGCAGAGAAGGGTGCTGCCGAGGTGCTGAAGAAGAAGGCTGAGCGGGAGAAGGTCGGGTACGAGCTGGACAACCTCTCAAGGGTACTTCCAGCTCAGCTCAAGTACCTCACTTTCCCTGATCCGCGGTACGAGCCGGTCAAGAGGGTATGTTCATTCCTGTTTGTCCCAATGAATCCAATGCTAACAAAATTGCAGCCCACTGGCGGTGTTGTTGTGGTTCTCGATAAGCAGCCCGAAGAGCCTCGCGAGGTTATTGAATTGAAGGCCAGCAAAGAGGCTCGCCAAGGGCCTCCTCCGACCGAAACCCTCCAGGACCGCCTGCAGGCCGCCATTGGAACCGCTGCTCTGCAGACCCCTCAACGGGCTGATGCTCGGGCTGCTCTATCCGCTGCTACCGTAGGTGGTGCTGCGGCTGGTGCCGGTGTTCTGACTGCGGTGGATGAGGATGAGGAAGGCGTGGAGGATGCACCTGTCCCTGACGAGTTCTCATACGAGTCAGATGGGGAAGATCAATAGAGGGCTGATGCGGCATAGAATCTTGATGCTGGATGTATTACTAGACTAATCAGGCTGTCTACGCCGACGTGATCTATTTGGGGGCTAGTATAGCTTTACGTTACTGTGATTGATATGGAAGTTCCTATGTTACCTTAAACTACCCTGTATTCTTTTTGTATTGTATGCACAGGCCAGAAGGGCCATTGCCGGCTCGCCTTGATTTGAACCCCCCCGGTTAGACCGGCTTGATCCAAGGGTTTCGGATGTACCGTACTTGCACATGTGCGAGAGGTACATCACGAAACCTGTACAAAATGGTTATTCTCCTATATAAGAGGGATATTTTATATAACTGTATTAGAGAATATCTCAGAATTGTGGCTAATATGGCTAATCGCCAACTAGCCGATACTCATATTCACATGCATGTGTTCACACCTCTCGGCCCTACCCCGGCGCGCCGGCCACTCTTTCTGACTCAGCAACAAGCTGCCCAGGTGACCTGCAGAGGGCTGTTATGCCTCGGCACTGTTGTTATCAACACAGCACGAGCCAATAAACTGTCTGTCAACGGCGATGACCGAGATGATCAGCAGCCAATGAAGCACCGACCGATACAACATATGTTTAAGGTCCCAAGGTCTACGCTGTACGGGAGCATGTGAACTGGTACTATGATGCTCCGAGGCCCCTTTTGATGCATCTTCATGTCCAGACTTGGAATATCGCCCGAACTTAGCGGAAATTGTTTCTTGCCCCATAACTCATATATTCCCCAGCTTCCCCGGACTTGAAATCTTCTTCTCTCTTACTACTATTCCTTGGTCATAATATAACTCTTTGTTGTGCGCATTTTCCCTTCGTCCCTTACTCTTCACCCATCGCCACTATGGCAAAGATATTTAGCAAAGAGGATGTCGCCTCGCATAGCAAGGGCGACAGTCCCTGGGTCATCATTGACGAAGACGTCTACGATATTTCCAAGTTTCAAGATGAGCACCCTGGTAAGTGAAGTCATGTGTGCAGATGGATGTGGATCACATGCTTACATTTCATTTTTTTGAACAGGTGGAAAGAAGAGTACGTGGATCCGAGAGTATCCGCTATGCCCAATGAATCCATATTGACAGTGCATGTCTAGTTCTCCAGCGAGTTGCCGGAAAGGATGCTTCAAAACAGTTCTGGAAGTACCACAATGAGGGCATTTTGAAGAAGTACAAGGGTCAGCTGCAGATCGGTTCGTTGGATACGAAGAAGGCGGCCCCAGCACCTCCGGCACCAGCGCCAACCCCGAAAAAGGTGGCCCCCGAGCCGACGCCCACCGCCTCTTCGTCTTCCGTGACACCACCTGCCACCGGCGAGCCCCAGGACCCTTACGGAGAGTTGATCCCCTTCGCCGATCCCTCATGGTACCAAGGTGTAAGTTTTGCGTTTGCTACCTGCCACCTACTTGTGAGTTTACGGTTGCGCAGAAGCTAATATATATGCCGCTCATAGTATGCATCCCCTTACTTTAATGAATCACACGCCGCACTGCGAGACGAGGTCCGCCAGTGGGTCGAGTCCGAGATTGAGCCATATGTGACCGAATGGGACGAGGCCAAGGAAGTGCCCGGTCACATTTACAAGCAGATGGGCGAGCGGGGCTACCTGGCCGGACTGCTGGGCGTCCACTTCCCCGAGAAGCATACCCCGTATCGCGTGAAGTCCGTGTCGCCAGATCGCTGGGATCTGTTCCACGAGATGCTGCTGACCGACGAGCTGTCGCGTGCCGGCAGCGGTGGTCTAGTGTGGAGCCTGATCGGTGGCTACGGAATTGGCTGCCCGCCTTTGGTAAAGTTCGGCAAGAAGCCGCTGGTCGACCGCATCCTGCCGGGTATCTTGGCCGGCGACAAGCGCATCTGCCTCGCTATCACCGAGCCGGATGCGGGTAGTGACGTCGCAAACTTGGGTTGCGAGGCTAAGCTCACCGAGGACGGCAAGCACTACATCGTCAATGGCGAGAAGAAGTGGATCACGAACGGTATCTACTCTGATTACTTCACCACCGCCGTGCGCACCGGCAAGGACGGCATGAACGGCCTGAGCGTGCTGCTCATCGAACGCGAAGCCGGCGGCGTCAGTACCCGCCGCATGGACTGCCAGGGTGTGTGGTCTAGCGGCACGACCTACGTCACCTTCGAGGACGTCAAGGTGCCCGTGGAGAACCTCATCGGCAAGGAGAACCAGGGCTTCAAGGTTATCATGACCAACTTCAACCACGAGCGCATCGGCATCGTAATTCAGTGCGTGCGCTTCTCCCGCGTCTGCTATGAGGAGTCTATGAAATACGCACACAAGCGCAAGACCTTCGGCAAGCGTCTTATTGACCACCCGGTTATTCGCATGAAACTTGCGCACATGGCCCGCCAGATCGAGGCCACCTATAACTGGCTCGAGAACATCATCTTCCAGTGCCAGTCCATGGAGGAGACCGAGGCTATGCTTAAGCTTGGCGGTGCCATCGCTGGATTGAAGGCGCAATCTACACAATGCTTTGAGTTCTGTGCTCGCGAAGCTAGTCAGATCTTCGGTGGTTTGAGTTACAGCCGCGGTGGTCAGGGCGGTAAGATCGAGAGACTGTACCGTGATGTGCGTGCCTATGCCATCCCCGGTGGCAGTGAGGAGATTATGCTTGATTTGAGTATGCGCCAGAGTTTGCGTGTTCACGGCATGTTTGGCATGAAGCTATAAAGCATTTTCTGGGTGTTTTCCATTGCGACGGTAGAGCATGCCCATTTTGGTTCATTTTCATTTTTTGCTGCTTTTGGCTAGATATATCCTGTCGTCTGTGACGACATCTATTTTATTTTGCTATGATATCTGCCTTGTACGATAACATTACATTGGCCTTTTCTTATATATATCAACGATTTACGGTGGACGTCGCTGCCTTTTTGGACATTCGCTGCACACACCTGATTCCCATTCGTGACTAAACTCCCGGTGTCTCTATAGTTTGCGATATTAGCAGGGCATTATGTTAGCAGAAGAACCATGGCCATGACTGAGAACGAAAAGCATCAAATAATCTCTCAAAGAAATGGTAAATGTCAAGGTCTCCACGTCCCGAAATCCCTTCTTTGTTCAGACGACTCAACTCTGCTCGAGGGCCTAGGTTTCATGTTCGAACTTCTTTCGATCTCACTCCTTTATTCCCATTTTCTTTGATGGGATCCGAGCCGTGATCAGGAAACCCAGGAGAACCGTTAGAATTGTGTTCGAAGCTCTTTGATGCTAATCTATTATTAGGTAAAAGGTAGTGAGGTGGCTTCCTTTCGAGTCAAAAGCCGGGCATTCTATGCGGAAATATAACACCAAGAGGTGCCCGTCTGACTATTTAGGACTCTCGAGGCAACCTTGGAAGTTATTTGTGCCCACACCTTCCCTTTGAAGATCATCTGCCAACCGTTCACAATGTCTCTACGATCTTTTGACATGAACGATGATGCATACGATAATGCAAGTGACATCGATGGAATGATTCAAGTTGCTTCTGATGAGCATTCCGCCACATCGCTCATACTTGCCAATCTAGTGGCCCGACGAATGCGCGAATTCCAAGAGAACGACGACGATTTTACCGGTTCTGGGACTGCTCCAACAGATCTCCTGTCAAGTCTTAGCTCAAATGATACCGATGAAGTTACCCACGAATTTCTACGGAACATAGCCTATTCCATGGATCTTACGACCATGCCTGAAAACTTGCTGCTTTTGGCTTTCCCTATGCTGCTGCATGTTGATACAAAACTTCCAACCCCCGAGGACCTTCATGCTCTACATGAATTCGCTGAAGCATCGCCAATGCATCGAGAGCATGTAGAAACATGGTTGAGATCTGAACCAGCTCAAAGCACACTTGAACAAGTTTTCAAGCCATGGATGAACTACTACAGCTTCAAACCTGCGTACCAATGCAAAGACGAGATTGCAGCTTACAAAGCTAGCAGAGATGGTGTTGGTTTTAATTATGCGTATGAATTTGTGAAAGAATGTCAATGTATAAGCTGTCTCTCACTTCTCGGCAATCTTGGGTTGATTGATTTCAGGAACTACGACCAAAATGGCAGGAGCTTCCTCCATGCGGCCATTTCAGGCGGAGATGCCGAAAGTGTAATGTTCATTGTCGCTATCTTGCTGAAAGGAGACCTGGATCCTCGGCACTTTCCCACGTCTATCGATGGGATGTCCATCCCCCACCATGTCGCTTTAATGCACGACAATGACGTCTTTAGAGGAGTCACCGAATTGCTAGAAGATGCAGGCTACCCTCTATCTGTGTGGAACGATGATGGCCTCAAGCTCGAATTGTGCAGCTTCATCACTCCTGAAATGGCCGAACGGCTCCTGTCGAAGGGATTCAATATCACCAAGCTCCCGAGAAATACACTTCCAATGTATCTGCCCGACGAGGATGATCCCGAGTACGACTCCGGCGTGGAATGGAACCGCGATGCAGAATATGGCGATCCTACCATCCGGGGGAAGACTTTGACCCGGACAATGACAAGCTCGACCCAAAATCGATTCCATATGATGCTATTGCAGTCAATCCCATCGAGCTCCATCCCACCTCTCGAACCATCTGGCACCGGGCAATTGAGAACCCCCATGGTCCACGAATCCTCGACTGGCTGTTGGATCACTCGTATACCCAACCAGGGTGTCGGACGGACTTCGACCGCGACACCGGTGAGACTGCTCTGGTAGCAGGAGCAAGAGGAGGCGAGCCAGCAGGCATTGATTGGTTCTGTCAACACTGTGATCCCATGGCGGGACGTGTCCGAAGCTCCCAGGATACCGAAGGCAATGAGACCACGGGTGCCTATGCGTTACAAGTAGCAGCTCACAACCTGCAGCCATATTGCGATGTCATTTTTAAAAGGCTTTTGCGTCACGTCGACCACAAATTTTACTGGGATGTTTCTATAATCAAGGGTTTATATTGGTTGATTATCAAGAATTATCGAGATATGTACCAAAGGTTGGAAGATCATAAGGAGCCCGGCCGCGAGAGAGCTCAGCAGATGACTCTCTTACGTTCCCTCACCTCGGCTAAAATCAAAGCGTTGAGTAACAAAATCGAGCCGTTCTGGGATACATGGGGGCCATCTGAACAGCGGAATTGGCTTATTCAGTACTGTACGATTCTTAGGTTGAATTTCCTGGTGAAAGATTTAAGTTCGGATGTTTGGGATGATTCTGATTAAGAGTTTCAAGGGCCAATATATCAAATTTTCTGGAGTATACTCGAAATCAAACAATACGAGAAGCTGATTGGGCCACTGACCGACTCCTTGGATGTATGTACGATGTTTTTCAAGGCTCTTTATATATTTTCTCCGAGGTTGTGTGTAATTGCGAGTATATTGTAGTTCGTCCTGGTTCTCCAAGCAACCCTGCCTGACCTTGTACACCTGGTAGGGGCCGCATTTCAATTCGTAAAGGGTTGGAAATAAGATATATATTGGTGTATCCAAATGGAAACAGAATTAATCATGGCTTCTTCATTAACTCAACGGTAAAAAAGGTCTTCGCAAAGGACGGAAGTTGAGAAACGCCAGACTCAAAGGCGGCCAAGTAAGGCCAGGTACGGCGCGCCACAGCGACCGCTTACGCAAGGATTATGCCTCTGAGCAACACGACCTCCACGCTCCGTCACTTCAATTCCTCATTTGCCCTTTCTAAAACTACCCCTTACAAGCAGTGCTATAAATTGCGCCTGCATTGTGGTGTGGTTGTTTGTTCCTTACAACCCCGAGATCTCCATTCCGATCCGTGTTCTTTGTAGGCGGTCGCGGAACTCGGTGATTGCCCGCAGAGCTCGACTTGTCTGCTGTGCTCCCTCTTATCTTTCCAGTCGCTTTTTTCTCTCGTCTAGATCAGCCTCATTTCACTTGATCTTACTCGGAATCGGCTGTTCGTCGGAAAATACCGGACAGTTCGCATCCTGTCATCTACGTCTTGTCTCCCAACCCGCCAGTTGTAGCGCGGTTTCCTTGGATACGGTTTGTCTTGCTTCTCCCGTGTTCTCTTTGTCTTTTCAGTTGCTGATTATCCTTATGATTGATAGGAATCTCACTGTATTTCGACTGCAAATTACGACTTGCCGAAAGTGGCGACCGGATCATCTATAAGATCGCGTTAAACACTATCTACCAAAATGTCAAACTTTCTCAACCACGACTTTGGGTCCGAGGACGAGGAGGATGATTTCAACCCTCCTCCCCAAGAAGAGTCTGATGCGGAGGAGCCCAGAGCCAAGGTCCGTCTACAGATTCCTGCCAAGCCTCAATGGATAAGGCGCTAACAAACGAGTGCGAAACAGCCAGCCAAGAAAGAACACGCCGGTGGCGATGCTGCCGATGAGGAGGATGATGCGAAGTACCCTCGCGACACACATGCACTTGAGGAGGAAGATGCCAAGGACGTCGAAGACGACGACGAGGAGAATGAGTTGGACGACGAAGATGAGGAGGAGGATGACGAGGAAGAGGATGTGGTATGTTTCCCACCGAGTCCCGGTAATTCACGAGCACTTTATTAACCCATAGTCTCTATTTTAGGCGCGTCCACAAAAGCGAATGAAGCGCGCTGCCAATCCTTTCATCGAAGACGAGGCCGGTGTCGATGATGAGGAGGACGAGGCCGATGATGAGGAAGATGAACTCGCCGAATATGGCATGGAAACACATCCGGATGATCTTGATGCGCTGCCCCAAGGCACCGAGACGGACGATCGCCGCCATCGACAGTTGGATCGCCAGCGCGAGATTGACGCCAGCATGGACGCAGAGAAGCAGGCCCAGATGCTCAAGGAACGATATGGACGCAACCGTGCTGCCACAACAGATTCCCTTGTGATCCCGAAACGACTCCTGCTTCCCAGTGTGGAAGACCCCAGCATTTGGGGTGGCCGCTGCAAGCCTGGCAAGGAGAAAGAGGTCGTATATTCAATCCAGAAACGAATTGAAGAGCGTCCAGCAGGCTCCCGCAACCCCATTCGAATCATCTCGGCTTTCGAGCGCGGAAACATTATGCAGGGTTGGTTCTACTGTGAAGCGCGCAGGCAGGCCGATGTTATCGAAGGCTTAGAGGCCATCAACTTCTACTACCCCTCCCAGAAACTGACACTGGTTCCAGTGAAGGAGATGCCAGATCTTCTTCGTGTCCAGAAATCAGAAGAACTTTTGCCTGGTGGCTGGATTCGCATCAAGCGTGGCAAATACCTCGGCGATTTGGCCCAGATCGAGGAGGTCGAAACCAATGGATTGAATGTCACTGTGAGACTTGTTCCCCGACTGGACTATGGCATGAATGACGATACCTTTGGTGCCCCTGCTGCCGACTCTAAGCGCAAACGCGGTGCTGTGACCACCGCCCGCCCTCCCCAGCGCCTGTTCAGTGAGACGGAGGCGAAAAAGAAGCACGCAAAATATCTATCGTCTACTTCTGGTCTAGGCGGAAAATCATGGAACTACTTGAACGACAACTATGTGGATGGGTTCCTCATCAAGGATATGCGTGTTCAGCACTTGAATGCCAAGAATGTCAATCCCCGGCTGGAGGAGGTTACAATGTTCGCGCGTGGAGGAGAAGACGGAACTGCCAATTTGGATCTGGCGTCGCTGGCCGAGACTCTGAAGAACTCTACCGCTGAAGACTCATACCAACCGGGTGATCCAGTGGAGGTTTACCGGGGTGAACAGCAGGGTCTTATTGGTCGCACAGTGTCAACTCGAGGTGACATTATTTCATTGCAAGTCACCGAGGGCGAGCTGGCTGGTCAGACAATTGATGCGCCTGTTCGAACTCTCCGTAAACGATTCCGGGAGGGTGATCACGTCAAGGTTATCGGCGGCAGTCGATACCAGAACGAACTGGGCATGGTCGTGCAGGTCAAGGACGACACTGTCACTTTGCTCAGCGATATGAGTATGCAGGAGATCACAATTTTCAGCAAGGATCTTCGACTTTCTGCTGAGATGGCTGCCGATGGCCAACTCGGTATCTACGATGTTCATGATCTCGTCCAGCTTGATGCCGCCACTGTCGCTTGTGTTATCAAAGTAGACCGAGAGTCTCTCCGTGTGGTGGACCAGAATGGTTCTATCCGCAATATTCTTCCTACGCAAATCGCAAACAAGATTACTCTCCGCCGCGATGCCGTGGCTACTGATCGCAATGGCGCAGAGATTCGAAGTGGTGATACCGTTCGTGAGGTTTACGGAGAGCAGCGCAGTGGAGTAATCCGCCATATCCACCGTTCATTCCTTTTCTTGCATAATAAGGCCCAAGCCGAGAACGCCGGTATCGCTGTGGTGCGGACAACGAATGTTGTTACCGTGTCAGCCAGAGGCGGTCGGCCCACTGGACCGGATCTGACTAAGATGAACCCTGCCCTAGCGATGCAGACCCCCGGAGGCGGTGCTGCAATGCCACCACCTCGTCGCGGCCGCGACCAGCTGCTCGGAAAGACTGTGACTATCCGCAAGGGTCGCTATAAGGGTCTCGTCGGTATTGTCCGCGACGCAGACGACAGCTCTGCTCAAGTTGAACTTTACACATCTAACAAGCCCGTACACATCCCTCGTGACATTCTGACACCTAAAGAGTATGTTCTCCCTCTCTTGTGTTTGATCTGCAGTCTTCCTAACATTTTACAGTCCTGTTTCCAAACAGCCCCTCTCCATGGGCCGTGGAAGAGGAGGTGGCCCAGGAGGGCGAACTCCGTACACTCCTTCAGGCGGTCCTGGAAGAGATAGTTGGGCCGGTGGTCGAACACCGATTGCCGCCGCTGATTCGTCTAGAACACCCGCTTGGAATGGCGCTGCTGCTAGAAGTAAGTACCCCATATTATATTGGCAAAGTTGACGCAGATGCTAATCATCATATAGCTCCCGCTTGGGGTGGCGTTAGTGGCGGCCGTACTCCGGCCTGGAAGAACGACGGCTCTCGTACCGCGAACCCTTACGAAGGAAACCGCACCGCATATGGAGGAGTTGGCAGCCGCACCCCGTCGTGGACCTCGGGGTCCAAGACACCATACGACTCCAGCTCCGGCTTCGACGCCTTTGCCTCTGGATCTCGTACTCCCGGCTGGAACGCCGGTGCGGCCAACGCAGGAGGCCGTACTCCCGGCTGGAACACCATGTCCGCCGGCAGAGACCAGCGTGATTTCGAGGATGCCCCGACTCCTGGTGGAAACTACTCCGCCCCTACCCCTGGTGCATACGCTGCTCCGACCCCTGGTGCACCAACTCCTGGCGGATGGCCCGAAAGTGCCCCCACTCCCGGTGGAGCTTTCAGCGCCCCCACTCCCGGTGGCCCTTCAAAGCGAGACTATGACGCTCCAACCCCTGCGGCGTTCGATGCGCCAACTCCGGCGATGGGTGGAATGGCTGCTACGCCTGGTGCTGGGTATGGTGGCAATGATGGAGGACCACGGTACGATGACAGCCCGAGTCCATAGTTGTTGTTCTTGTTCTCTTTCTTTTTCAAGTACCAAAAGCTTGTCCTTCCCACACACCTTAAGATATCAAACGGGATAGGGCTGGTTTCACATATGTATTCTACCTTCTGAATTTATTTTCTTGCAGAGCAACAGATGGCGCCCAAATGATATTTCCTAGTCACTGAACTCGTATGACCTTGAATGGCTCGTTGGTGGAACTTGATATCTCTAGGAACCGAAAAATAAACGAAAAATAAACGAAAAATAAACGAAAACCGACTTCATGCGCGACGGAGCTGGTACTCCTGAATATCCTAAGTGCGGAAAACCGGCCAAACTTCCATTTGGGGAGACTTACGGGGATGGATGGAGTGCCATCATGCCATTATTCCTTGCCATAAACGGCCAGAGTCCGGTCGATGATATCGGCTGCCCACAGACACTTCTCATCTTGGAAGCGCGGCGTGATGACCTGGATAGCGCATGGAGCGCCATCTACCTCGTCGGCGAGATCTAGTATCTGTCAGGCATATATTCAATAGAAGGGGACGGCTCACTGACAGTTCGGCTGCGCATCATCACTTGTTGTCATAGGTTCGGGATCAAGCTCTTTGGAAGCTTTTCCAAATGGAATAATGCATGCCGGATACTAGATTGACAGAAGTTAGTATGCGTCAAGGCGACAACAGCAGAACGAGACAAAAAGAAATACTTACATCCAAGACATTCCACATCACCGTATAAGAAGGCCATCCATAAGTATCATGGCCAACAGCTGTACTCTGAGCTCCAGGAGCCAGAATCACATCGAGCTTCTGATCCACCCATGTCTGCCTCCAGGCCTCATGAACCCGCTGGCGAGCCGCATGCAACGCCAGGATAGTCTCAAATGGTCCTTGACCTTGCTGAGCAGGAAAAGGACCAGATGACATTGGGCTGGCAGCCTTAGCAACTGAAGTTACAGGGGGCTCGCCACTGGCCGCAATGACATCCTTGTGCGGGCCGTAGGTAAAATACTGAAATGCAATGCGCGACGCATATGCCAAACTATGTGCTTCATCGTCACCCGCAAGTCGGATTATACGATGTCCTGCACGCGTCAATGCCTCGACAGCCCGATCTAGAGCCCTCTTTACAGGCGGGTGGAGCGGGAAATACTCGTCCTCGGCAAGCACGCCGATGGTCAAGCTTTCGCTAGCGTTGATACTAGACGGGATGGTCTGCCACGGGGCCCCGACGGCAGCAGAGTCATACTTCCACGCCTGGCCGTCGGCGACAACGGAACTCATCAGCAGCTTGAGATCAGCAATGCTATGTGCTAGTGGACCTGCGACTGGAATAAGTCCCGGGATTCCCTTCACGGCGCCGGAGACCTGTCCACCGAAGGGGATACGGTCGACTGTGGGCTTGAAGCCGTACACCCCACAGCATAGCGCGGGGATGCGAATTGAGCCGGCGATGTCGGTGCCCACACCTAGAATCGATCCCCGGAAGGCTAATAATGCACCCTCCCCACCGCTGGATCCGCCCGCTGTTAGGGTTGTCTTGTGTGGATTCAGGGTGCGGCCGAAAATGTTATTCTCCGAGTCTGCTGTCTGGGTGATGATTAGCTTTAGTTCTGAGAATATCCTGAGCTATCTGGTATTTTTTACCATCATTGTCTGTGGTATATTGGTCTTCACGTATAGCACCGCGCCAAGCTCCAGAAGCATCTTCACTAGTGCGGAGTTCGTCTTCGCGGGTTCGTTCTCGAGAAATGCGACATATCCTATTGTTGACTGCACACCCTCGACGCAGAAACTGTCTTTTATGCTGATCGGCAGACCATGTAGGGGACCAACAGGCTTTCCCTCCCGCTGGAGGTACTCATCCAGGTACTTAGCACGCTCCAACGCCTGAGGGAAGAAGGTCTCTGTGAGACATGAGATCTACACAAAACATATGTTAGGATCATTCCTCTTTTTAATTCTCTCGGGAATACGTTGTACTCACAACCTGCTGCGCGATAGCAGCCCTCTTACAAAACGCCCCTGTAACATCCAACGAACTGGCGTCTCCCGATGCCAACTTGACCAACAGCTGACTTGCGGTATAATTCTCGGTCAGGTCCAATTCGACTTCGGAGAGCACACCACTGCGACGAGGAAGATCAATCTCTAGTACATGCGGGGTTGCCTGCGCTAACGCCAGCTGGTCGGGGCTTAGGAGCCAGTCACGAGGAATCTTCTGCTCGCATTCATGACGTTTGGCGGCGACAAGGTCTTGCCAGTTGCTGGGGGTTGCTTCGGACGCCATTTTGGAGATGGGATAGACGTGAGTTCACGTTTGTGACCATCTCTCCTTTTATATGGTTTTTGTGTACTTTTTATGCTCGGCATTACGGCATTTACCCACTAGAAGATGTCACCACCTCCGCTTTTTCCACTTGTCCTACTTGTCCTACTTGTCCCACTTGGTGCGGTGATGTTCAAATGTGTCGACCTGCCGCTTTGGGATAGCTTGGAGCCAGGAGGAGTCCACGATGGCGCTTAATAATTTCATTTGCTTTACTATTGTTATTGCAGGGTTCTCTTATTACATATTAGAAAAGGTAAACTTTGTAGAGTGAATATCGGCTATAGTAAACTGTAAATCTCCAACTCTAGAATCGGCAATGTAACCCCTCTATCTGCCGTTGGTTATTCAAACCCCTCTCCAATATTAAATTAAATATTGAGTATATTTAGCCCAGATAATATACATCGATTCAGATCTCCTCCCCCCTCATGACATATAACAACGGGATGATAAACTGCTTGGAATTGAGGACATGGACAAACAAAAGAACCAGGATTCCTCGGGTGTGTTCCCTTCCCTACTATTGCCCAGTCTGTGCTTCCTGGGGCCGAGAGCTAGATGGCGAAATAGAAAAAGGCAAGTCAGTGGATTCTAATGATATCCAGGATGTTCAGGATGTTTAACTATGTCCTCCGGATATGTTCTAAAACTCCCCGCAATCTCCAATTCTCAAACGAGAAGGTTGACCCACCGGCGCGTTATCTTGAACTCTATCAGATGGGGCAATATGCAGGTGCCCAGGTGGTATCCACGGAAATGAAAACCTTGGACGTAGATTAGCTCATTAGCTGAGTGCCCAGGTGCATAAGTGAATTAGTGTTTTATAGTCAACCCTGGGAAGTGTCATAGGTACCGGGGTAGGCAGGTCCAGCAGGTCACTTCTTATTTGCGATCTGATATTGGCCTGACTACTTCAGCCTCGTGATTTTTTTTTTGTTTTTTTTACTTTCACATGTATCTTCTGAATCTCGCGTAAGACCCAGTAGATGTCTTGTCATCTAGTGCCCTTACGATTTGCTACTTATTATTCTCTACCACATACCTCTCTTCTCTCTCTTCCTTTTACTCAACACGACTTTCTACCCTATACTGTGACTCCGCATTTTCAGCAACCATGCCTTTTCCAACAAATATGCTGACCGACCCTTCGTTCTCAGCCTCTGCTAGACAGCAAGCTCTCAATCGAATCTACTCTGACCCAGGCCTTCCCCAGAGTTCGACAACCTCGTCGTTCTGGACCCGGGGACCACACAGCTTCAGCCAGGGAGCTGCAAGATCTCTTCCCAAGGAAGCTGATATTGTTATTATCGGATCTGGCATTACTGGGGCATCTATTGCGCGGACCTTGCTACAGCACCGTGCTGCAGATCCCTCCTCTACCTCTCATCCATCTGTTGTCATGCTCGAAGCCCGCACAGTCTGTAGCGGCGCAACCGGCCGCAATGGCGGTCATATCCTAGAAACAGCCGAAGAATACGGCGAGTTTGCCGATGTCTTTGGCGTGGACGCCGCACGCAAGCTTATCCGCTTCCGATTGGCCCATCTGCAGGAGATGCTCACTGTCGCAGAAGAGCTTGGCATCACTACTGAGACACAAGCACGAAAGGTTCAGTTCCTGGGCGTTTACTTCGGCGACGAGCCTTGGAAGACGGCGTTGGAGCGAATGCACCGTTTCAAGGATGGAATGCCGGAGGAATCTGCTGAATGGACATCTTATGAGGGAGACGCCATCCCGAGGGTTCGTTGATATCCTATTCCAACACCCAAAATCCCAACGCTAATGGTATTCCCAGGAGTTATGTTTGACTCGTGCTCGAGGTGTCATCGTTGGCCCCGCAGGCGCCCTATGGCCCTACAAATTCGTTATCGGCGTGCTCACACGTCTCCTTGCCGACTTCCCGGATGACTTCCACGTCGAGGAAAATACCCCCGTGACCGCTATCCATGACGATACTGCTGTCAACGGCCGAAACTACAAGGTGGAGACAAGCAGAGGCACCATCACCGCCCGACACGTTATCCATTGCACCAATGCCCATGTCAGCCACCTGGTCCCCGGCTTGCGGGGCCGAATCTTCCCCGTGCGCGGGCAGATGTCCGCTCAAACCCCCGGTGACAACTTCCCGAACCAAGCAGAGAACCATTCCTGGCTCTTCAACTACGACCGCGGATTCGACTACATGACCCAGTTGCCAGCGGGACAGATGATGCTCGGCGGAGGCTTTATGCAGGGTGAAGCGGGCGGTCTAGCGGACCTTGGCATCTCTACGGACTCTGATCTTAGTCTCTACGTTGATATCCACTTATCCGGGGCTCTGCGTGCCATCTTCGGAGCTAAAGACTGGGGCTGCGTGCAAGGTGAGCCGGTGCAGGCGATGTGGACCGGTAGCATGGCGTTCAGCTCCGATGGACTCCCGTGGGTAGGACAGTTGCCTGGGGCTGTGACAGGTCGGTCTGAGCATGGGTCTGAGGGGGCGGAGTGGGTTTGTGCTGCGTTTGGTGGAGAGGGAATGGTTCAGGCTTGGCTTGGTGGTAAGGCGGTTGCGACTATGTTGCTTGCACGAGATGCCTCGCTGAGTGAGACTGTCAGTGCGGATCTTTCGTGGTTCCCTGAGAATCTGCTTGTTTCCAAGGAGAGACTTGATGAGGCGGTCTTGCCGAAGGAGGTCAGGGATGAGGTGCACAAGGCGAATCTTTAGATTTCCTTTTGGGATTTTGCGCATTAGATCTGCTTTTTGATTTTTCTGCTCATCTGACTGCGCCATATTTTTTCCTTAGCCTATCATCTTGGATAGTAGAATAAAAGAAAAAAAATTGTTTCTATGCAGTCTCGCAATCACACTTCCAGTTCTGTTGTAGTGCTTATGTTAGGGTTAGGGCTTTTCTCGTATGCTGGGTATCCCCTTCATATCAGGCTTCCATGTCATCTTGAGGCTTACCAAGGAATGTAAAACCTATCACTAGTTACAATTGCTGAAAAGGACATGTCTTGTACCCCGTATCATGTACCATATCAAGGCACCGTCAAAACTACTGTATCATCTGGTACAACCTTGGTAATCTCCTAGGAAACACATCCAACGCCGCAACACCATGGTCATAATGTCAATAAAATGCATGTTATCATTTGGAGCATCCAATGAAAGCTATTATCATCAATATACTTGATTCAAATGACATCCCGGGGAGCATAGACCAATATCACCCGACCCCCAAATGGCCCGACCCATATCAACTCAAGTATCTCAACCCAGGCAGCCAGATTCCACCAACTTCCAGTCGGAAATCCCCATCGCGAAAGATAAACACCCAAGATCAAGACATGACGTAGCCATCCAACGCAGCAAGCTGTCAAACAGCATGGCCACGCTCCACGATATCAAGATACCGCTTTGTCAATGCGCGCCGAGTAGACTTCCCCCAAATCACCATTGGGATGATCATGCCACTAATGGCTAAACTCATCATTCCACACTCCATGAACATATTCTGGATACCATTGCACTGGATCCATGGGGTGGTCGCGAATGGAATTGCGATACTGACTGCGTTGCGCATGAGCGCCACAACAGTGAAAGCGTCACCGGTGATCAAGAAATGGGTATTAGTACAAACGGCGCACTTGAAACAAAGGATGTATCATATAGGGTGTATCATGTATCTCGAAACGAGATAGGTTTGGAAGCAGCCAATTATACCTCTCTGTAACTGTCCATGACTTAACACCGATGCAGTATCACTAACTAATACCTCCGAGGGGCAACCCCGAAAAGGCACCTGCAATGTTCGGCCAGATCCAGTGCATACTCTATCATCCAGAAATAAGAATGGTAGCACTCACTCTTCAACAGAGCCTCAGCCTGAGTGAAAACTTTGATTGTGAATGTTGTTCCCTTGCCCTAGAACTCGTTGCACCCAACATAATAAGGCCACCTACCATAAAAACAGCCGGAAGACGTAGGATGTACAACCGCATCTCGGGCTCGTGGTAGTCCTTGTTCCGTTTTGTGTAATACAAAATGGACCCATTACTGAGGAACCCGCCGTACACTACACAGATATTCCCAACCAGGGGACCAGCATTGGTGTATCCCATTTTTGCAGGCGAGAAGTGGTATGGAGGCTCCGGTAATACGCGCGACAACCTGCAGGAGGTCGCAGTCAGCCAACCTACTCCAGCTACGTACGGAAACGCGGCAGGTGCCACGGCCGGAAAGATGAGAACGCGGAAGGGGCGGTGGAAATGCGGCCAGATTGGTTCATAGTACGTTGGCGTTACCAGGTCAAGTAGCCTGCGTCATGAATTCTGCGGTATGGTGCTGTCTAGCACATGGTGGGAACGAGCCTGGTCAATGCCATTGGCTGCAGGCATCCAGTCAAATTTGACCAGACCATCTTCTCTAATTCCGATAGCTGGATCGTCTTCTCCAATGGTAGCACCGGCTTTCCCACTAAACGCAGGGACGTATTTCGTTCCCTCATACATGGAGAGGAAGAAAGCCAAAATGACGGCATTGAAGATCCCCATGGTTTGATAGGACGAGCACCGGCCGTGCTGCGTGGCTTGCTCCCCTGCAGCCAGATGAGGGAATCGGACCAAGAACGATAATGCGCTGCCCCTGCTAATCAGCCTCGTCCTCTGGAAGATGACTTGTCAGTGATAACTATCGAGTTGCTGTGCCTGTTTGAGCCGACAACCCGGAGCTAGACTGTATACGGTAGGTGGACGCAATCGAGTACTATATTCCACTAGAATGTCGTTTATTAGTTCTCTGGATGTTTCCCAAGAAAAAACCCCGCTAGTACTTTCTAACTTGGGGAGAATGTTATAACACTGATAACCATGCATATTACTTGCTCTTCGTGTTCTTGTCAATAGCAACTCTCAAATTCCCGGGAAATGTTTGCCAAACCGCTGGTCAAGGTTGACCTCTTTCGTGTTCACAGAGGTACGGCTTTTATCTCTTCCTCTCTCTTAACCAGACACAGACTACGCTTATGGAAGTGCCGATCAGCGAAACTGATAAAAGATAAATGGTGTAGAGTATCTTATTCCCGCCATCGCGCAAACAGTTCATCTCGCTTTCTCTTCTGACCCTTTGATCCAATGGCTAAGGCCAAATTCTACACCATGGGCTGAGCAGGATACGGGCAGAGGGAGCTGGCAGTATCGTCGTATCCAACGCATAATGCTCGGGGGTGAGGTATTCCATTCTGCCAACGTTAAACAAATGACAGATCATCCTGGAAATGGCAAAAATCAATTATCAACAGACACTTCCATCTCGGCTGTTGCGGAATTGCCTGAGAAACAGCCCGGAACATCTTCGCACGAAGACGACAACGCTGGTGCCGTGGTGTTTTTGTTCCCACCGCCAGGACGAAAGCCCTGGTCCCTATCGCGAATTTGGCTGGCGTGCAAGTTGTGCCTATTAGACTTTTTGCACCAGCACATGATAGCGGAGCGAGAGACAAGGTAAGCGAAGTTCTGCCTATGGTCCTGGTTCTATGCTGACTCGACCCTCTTAGCGCGTTGAAATTCTCCTCGACAGACATGAAGTCAGTTCGAATCTATTGGAAGCGAGGTACTCTCGACAAAAGCTATGGTACCTTGAGGTTGTTGCTGTGCACCCTTCGCTACAATCACGCGGACTGGGTGGGGGCGTGATGAGATGGATCTTGGAACACGTTCATGACGACCCCTTGTATCTTGAATGTACCCGGGAGGAGAATGTGGGGTTCTATGAGAGCTTTGGGTTTCGAGTTGCTGAAGAGGTGGAACTGGTGGATGGCGCGAGTCAAACTGGAGAGCATGTGTTTAAGCACTGGGTGATGGTGCATCCGGGAAACTCAATGCTGTAGATATTCAATATCATAGGACACAGGTGGGCTTGGGCTTCGCTCCTTTATGTCACCTCTTAGGGCACCTATACGGATGATCCGAGTTTAGCAAATATATTGGATATCCCATAGTCAGATCAACATATAGCCGTGGCATATTTACAATTTTATCCATCCATAAATCATACCAACCCCATCTCCAGACCTTTTTGTCGAGCCAGGTCATGCACACTCAAATTTGGATCCTTCTTCTGCCATAGCTCTTCCAACAGACTAAGAAGGGTTTCACATTGATGAGATCCTAACAAACCCTTCCTAATAGTTTGTTGCCATTCCGGCTTGTGACATAGGATACCGACTTCCGACCCAGCAACAAACATGGGAAACACAACTGCATTCATGATGTGAACATCTTCGGTTGGGCGCTCAATTGATGCGAGACGGAGAGCATCAAGGCTGGCCAGGATCCGCGCAACAAGAACGGATGTCTCGGCTGGACACTTGACAGGCTGCAGCCATGGCGAGATATTATCGGGAATAGGAGTAGAAGACGAGTTAGCTTGTTTTCTGAGGGTCAGGATACCAGCCAGTTGATGCGCCTCCCACAGATAACACTGTAAAAAGCTCCCTGACTCGCCAGGCCAGTCCCAAAGAGTTTGTTCTGTGGTTTCTGTGCCTATCCCGGCAAGAATATCAAGTAATGTACGAGGAAGACCGCTGACCGTCTCAATACCATATCTGGGTGTCGCGGGCTGGCAATACCGACGCCAGATGCCAATCTCTGGTGCCTGACGACCGACAGAAAAGCAGGCCATGTCCAACACCCCCATCACCTCGAGGAGATGGATACGAAATTGGGTTAGGGTAGAATTATGGTGCAGATCATCGAGGCCATGGCTCTGCAAGATTTTGTGCATACCTTCCAAATGCATAGTCCAGGGTAGGCCGTGCATCAACTGAGATCAAATCAGTTCAGAAGCTTAATCCAGAGGATAAGAGAAAAGGGAGTCGAGGTTACACACGCCAATGCTACACAGCAGCAACCCAGAAGTCAACGTCCCATCGGAAAGAGTCGTGCTGCACGCCAGTTCTGATCGAAAGGTCCTTAATGCGGTATCGAAGTACTCGCAAAACTGAGAGGTGACTGTGCTCGATAGTGCGAGTTGGAATGCAATGCAGATAGAATACAAGGCGCTAGATTCCTGACGAAGTTGAGGGAGACGCGGATGAAGCATGGTATCTCTTGCTGTTGTCGAGTGAAGCACGTTGAAGCCATTGTTCATGACTACTCGATATCAATATACAATGTTGCAACCCGCCTGCCTCAAATATTTTCATGTTAGTAACTCACATTCATTGAAAAGAGCCTCATCCTCAACTACCCTCCGCGAAACCGTCAGCTGCAACTCCCGACTCGCATCCGCTACAGACCAATTAATATCAAATAACCGCATCATCTCACAAACCACACTAACCGGAGTCCCCCTCCAGTTCCATCCTCCTTTTTCTCTCCTTGCTAAGATCCCTTTGTCTCCCCCTCTGTCTAGACGGCACAGATGTCTTGACTGGCTTATCAGCACCAATAAAGTGACCGCGCGACGCAATCCCCGTACCCCATCTTAGCCGAACTTCGTAGCCCTCGCACGCGGCCCCGCGCTCGACACAATTTTGGCAAGAAGGGCGTGCGTTGTCACAGCGGCGCCGCCGTCGTTTACAAGTCCAGCAGCCCTGGTGTGAGCGGGTCGACATGCCGGATTTGGGGGTTTTGTACTTGAAGATGTTGGGCGGAAATGTGAACCCGCCGTTTACTGCGATGTGGGGGCGTAGATCATGTGGGTTCCCGATAGCGCGTCCGACTGCCTATTTGGGATAGCTCGTGTATGAAAGTCAGCAACGTTCTTGAGAATCTCTTGATTTGTTTCATAAGTCAAATGGAGATATTAACTTGTGACACAAATATCTCGTGAGATATTGGAGTGTCGTATTAATTGGCCAAGAAGCCGATTATATTTACTTTGGCGTGGGATTCCATATTATAGGGGCTTAATCTATAGTCCGCGTAATTCATCGATTTTCTATAGAACTATTTTGAGTTCCAAGGGCTCTAGATTCACGATGGCCCTAATACTATGTTTGATTCTTATCTTCCATAAAGTGCAATATGTATGAATACGCCTCGAGGCTGGGCTGTGTGGCATAGATAATTGCTGAAACGATCCCCTTCTTCAGCCGATCATGTGGTTTATGCGCCTTTTAAAGGGGCAATGACCTTCCAGAGAAAACATGCTTCTCATTGCTCTAAACACTTTGTTTTTTTTTTCGGGGTTTGTGGTACTGATTTATAGGATTTACTCTAGTTATCTGATGTCTGATGAGTTCCTTGTAGATATTCCTATGTTTTAAGAACTCGGAATTTGTAAGAAGCATTAAGAATTCATTACTCATTTAACACAGCCTACCTTGTTCTTTATCTAGACACCTGCAAGGCTTAGGTCTGTACAGAAGATATCGGTGCCAACTTCAATTTCGAATTTCTTCTATGTTGTACTAACTGAACGGCGTGCGAATTTCAAGGAATGTATATGTCATCCCGAATACGATGCCTTCATTATGACCAGTATTCTTCATTCACGGCATCAACACCAAGTTTTCGCTGGTGGGATTTATCAGTCAGGGCTGTCCAGGGAGAAAGGAAGCATGATGGTATGGTCTCCTCGGTTCAGGTTACGACCTAAATTAGCTTCATCTACATATATAGCGAGTTTGTTTCTCTGGTTAACAGCGGTTGGACTTTGGCAGTATGTGCATGTGGCATCACTGAGGATCTACGATATTTATATTGCCGGATCATGTAGAGCATGTGGTGGTGCTATCTTCTCAATTCATCAAATTACTGTATTTTATAGAACATCTGTCTACACAGGAGATATTTAGCCAAGCCCAGACGACCAAAATGATGCATTTGGGACATTCCCTTGTCTAGGTAACAATGTCGCCCTAAAACAACATATAACCCATGCCGATATATCTATTGCAGTGCGTACTTTTTTTTTACCCCAAAAATCAAAAACCATATCTGCAGTGAACCACAAACTAAACACCAGTAAAGCCTAGATCAGAAAAAAAAAAATAATACATAATACAAAGCGGCTAAGACCATCATGGCGGCACCGCTCGAGCCAGCACACGGATATTATCCACAAAGCCCTTAACGAGGTCCTCGTACTGGTTCTTAGGATCGCCGGACATAGCAAGTTGGCCCTGACGACGAATTTCTTCAGCCGAGACTTCAACTTCAAGCTCGTGTTCGAACTCATTCTTGCCCGGTTGTTGCTGTGATATGTGATCAGAAGACTGTCTTCGAGGGTGACACAGAACATTGGATAAACTTACATCGGATTTGGCTACTTGGGTCAAGTCCACCTGGTAGGCCAAGTGGCGGTAGCTCATGCGATCTTTGATGCGATCGCCTCGTGCGCCTTTCATGACAGCGACATCTACCACCGGGAGATTGCTGACGTCGCCAGTGTATTCCATTTCCAGATTGACACTGACGCGCCAGTCCACGGTCGTCCGGGGACTGCAGACGTCTACGTCGGCAACTCGACATTTGACGATTTTCGCGAGGGTTTCACCGGTTCGTTCATCGGTTGTCACCCGGACTTTGGGTTTGTGTCTCGGGTTCAGGTTTTGACGAATCACGGGGGGCAAATCAGATGCTTGGATCTCATAGAAGGTGTCGCGTTCTTTTTTGTGCACATATGCAAGTGGGATGCGGGTCGAGTTGGCTTGGGGCATTGACGCTTTCACGGCCTCATTCAGGAAATTATTCATGGCTCGGTGTTGTTCCTATAGATTGTGGTAAGTAAATTTCATCGAGGTCGAGGCATCCTCGCTAGCACATCAGGGAATCAACTTACCACAGTCATTTTACTCTCAAACGAGGTCCGAATTCGCGCGTTCTCCCGATTGAGGACGCTCTCAGTTAGGATTGGGAGGTGGACTCGGTCTCTGCTGTCCATGTCGATTATATGGCCCAATTTCGCCTCAATTTCAATGATTGTTCCCTGGCCGGCAGCAGCGGAGCCTGCTGGTCCGGCATTAACGTCATTTCTCATGACCACATGTTGAAACAAGAAATCACAAAGCGTTTTTGTAACCTCCTCGTGTGGAATGAAGCCAGTAATGGACGGCTCCCAAGGGCCCAGCGATCCTACCGTCTGCGAAGTACTCGGCGGACGAAGTGAGGGAGTAGGCAGAGCTGGGGGAGCTTGCACGCGAGGCATACTTGTGCTTGGTGAGGCAACAGCAGGTGCTCGTGTGACCCGCGTGACGGGTGTGACAGCCATTATCGAGGAAGACCGTCTGCGAGCAGCCAGGGAAGGATCCTGCTGGCTCCCTCGCGCGTGCTTTGGAACCGGGGGACGGGGATTGGGAATAATCGGGCGTCTGTTCGTGTTGCGGGGCGTCAGCCGAGCATAGATCGGAGGCTCGGCGCACCTCCTTCTTTTTTGCCTGGGCTGTTGTGCATCGACACGTGGTTCGTGGTCGATTTCCATGTCCACGGCGTGGGCCCCTCCACGAGCGCTGGTGGGTGAACTGTTCATTTGACCGCCTGTTGCTAATGGGGAGGTTAGGAAATCTGATCCCGCGACGGTGGGCTTGTGTGCGGTGGGACTCTCAACCATCATTCGATCTTCGGAAGAACGGATTTGACCAGCGGTCGCTGACTCGGAGGCCGTGACGATGCTGTTGTGCCGGGAGATGGATTTGGGACTGGCGCTCTCGGTTGGCTCTTGCTTTAAGCCGCCCGGAGGGAGGTGAGCCTGATCGGAAGGGTGAAAACTATGCAGAGAGAACTGTCGCTGAGTGACAGGTGACTGTGTTGGAACCTGATCTCGCATTAAGGCCTCCTGTTTGGGCCTCGGGCTGGATAGGGGATTGCCGGGGGAATCGTGTCCGGAAGACGGCGGGCGGGCGGTTGATGGGGACAGACGGGTGGTAAAGGCAGGAGGAGGACCTAGGGGAGTGCCGGGAACAGATCGATGTGCAGTGGGGGAGAAGTGCTGCGATGGAAGAGGTTGCGATGCAACAGGAGGGCTGTGGAAAGATTCAACTGGAGCTCGGGGTGTTGTCATCACCGACTGAAGTGATTGAGAACGCTGTTGAGAACGCTGCTGGGCAAAATAAGACGGCTGTTCTGGGTGCTGCGGTCCAGCACTCAGCGGCTGTGGTGTGTATGGCGAAACCAGAGGACCGCCGGGGTGTTGTGGATGCGACCCGTATGCCGACGCGCCAAATGGATCACGCGTGCCGGGACCATACGGTGTCGAGATGTGTGGAGGTGTCTGACTGCGCTGAGACCCCACCGCTGTATTGATCACTGGGCCCGAGTTGGATTGTTGGTAAGGCGATTGAACGGATGCGTAAGGTGAGCTTCGCTCTGGGGAAGCGTGCTGCTGGTGTTGCAGCGGAGGAGGCTGGGGCGGACGTGTAGGATACTCTGAATAAGATGCTGCTTTCTTCAGGCGCTTTTGGGGGGTTTGATCGGATATGGGAGAACTGGCCGAGTTGCTTGGAGGTGGAGGATTGGAGGCGCCGCCGTCGGTGTTCATGATCGTGCGCAAATCCATCGTGGCTGCACCCACTTCGGGACCACTTCGACCACGCGAGCACTTTTATCAAGAAATGCACGCGACAGGCGATCGCGACATTCAGATCTTATCGCAAGACGTCGGGGAGCAGAAAGAAGGCGGCGGGACAATGAGCGTGGATGGACAAAGAGGAAGGGAGAAGTTCTCGAACTGCGGAATTGCGCGAATCAGGGAGCTGAGAGGATCGTCGCCGCTTTAGGGAACCGGCGACATCAAGGTTCAATCGCCTATATTGTGTGTCAATCTGTATCAATCCCAGAGATGTCTAAGTTCTACGTTGGGAGCCTTGGAGCTCAAAAATGTCCTGCGAAGTTTCCATGGAAAACGGAGCTCTTGGAAGTATGATGCATTCGGAGAGCTTAGTAGAATGTAGCTATGGAAAATGTCTATTATCTTTTAGAAATCGCCCAATCCATACAAGTAGCTAACTGTCTTTGACATTATATACGTGTTTTCAACCTCTTCAGTCCTCTGCGATGGTAAAAAGGCCACGGTTGTGATCTTGAGATGTCTTGGCATTGACACCTGAGGCAGTCAAGTATGAGCTAAGCCGTTTTGGGAACTATACACTGTCCTTCCATCAACCTACAACCTACAACTTAGGGTATATATGTAGGAAAGACAGATCTCGATGTAATGGAAGTATAATTGTCGTATCAAGCAGAAATAAACATTCTCAACCCTTGAATTTAGTAATCCCACAGCTTTGTTCATTTTAGATCGGAGGTTGGTCTCATTTACATAAGAACGCCAACCTTTTCATATAGACATGGAGATAATGTAAGGCTTTTTTACATTAGGAACCGTCATATACTGGCCAGTTGCTCTTATACCGTTTAATGTCAATGATATTTGCCTAGAGATAATGGGGTTATAGGCAACGGGGGTATAGGCATTAAACCTATAGGTAATGGGCCTATAGGCATGTAAGAATATACTGGTTTCAGGTTAAACTTAGGAGTCCCTTTAGAGATCCATAAATTACCTAATACTAAGATACGTACCGGTAAGGTCTCGGTCGAGCCGTAAAAAGACCGGACAATTCATGTTAGCAGGGGTCAAACAGCGCTACGCTGTCTGCCCCTGCAATGCTCTCTTTCTTTCTTTCTTTTCCTTTCCAAACCCTCTCTCTGTCTCTCACTGTTCACGTCCCATTCACCATGGCAGGTTCCATCCAAAAAAAAATATGATCTTGATAAAGGGTGAGCCTTCCGTTCATCGTCCGCTCCCCTTCTTTTTTACGTTCGATGTTAGCTGACAAAAAGTCCCCAGCGTCGTCTATGTTCAATTTACGCCGTACCGCAGTAGCATTCCCGCCTATTATGCCTCTCATGGGTCTGGCATGGCAACAACAAGTTCGGTATGACGTATAGAAGATTTAGATTAAGATATTGTTATTATCAGGAGATATATGTATTGACTGGCCCAACTCTCCCTCCAGGATGCAGACCACGAAGCCCGTAACGGGACCACTAAGAGTGATCAAGCCAGAATCCGCCCAGGAAGGACTCGCTCGCCAACGCCTTCGGCGACCTATAGCGCCCCATCTATCCATCTATAAATGGCAGGTTCACTCGGTCAGCTCCGCCATGGAGCGAAACACGGGACTTCTCCTCGCCGGCGGCCTGTATCTCTTCGGCACCTCCTACCTGGTGGCCCCCTGGCTCGGCTGGGATCTGTCATCGGCCGCCCTCGTCGCGGCCTTTGGCTCTTTACCTGTGGCCGCCAAGGTCGGACTCAAGTTCTTTGTGGCCTGGCCCTTCACCTTCCATCTCTTTAATGGTATCCGGTCTTGTGTCTCCGCCGCTGGATACACTCTGGATAGTAGGACTCAAATTATCAAAATCGCATGGGCTGTTGTTGGCTCATCGGCTTTGCCCGCCATCGGCTTGGTGGCTTATGTTTAAAGCACGTGCCATCCATGGGAAAGTCCACTCCCTAGATTCGTGCTTTCATGCCGAGAGAAGTCATTTTCTCCATGTATTCGAACGATTATTGCGGAGCGAAGCGAAGCAATATATTTCATAAGGGCCTCGCGTGTCACGTGACCTGGATTTTATCCATAGGAGCTAAACGGTAAAAACTGATCGCTGAGAACCGGACCTAGCCGGCAGAATAAATATATAGACACGTGACTACCTAAGTCACGTGCTATATACTGAATTAGACTAAATGTCACGTGGCTACTATAGTAATGACGGCCTTAGACATCTACTATGTATATCGTATATATTTGGCTAGGTAGATCCTAAACTAGATCCTAAAACTAGGTGCTAAACTAGGTGCTAAACTAGGTGCTAACCTAAGGCCATCGAGATCTCTAGTACTCCTTGAACACGACCTCTAATTGGTGGTAAGTGGGGCGGCAGTACCACACCTTGCAAACAGGAGTAAGAAATGCGGATTAACGAAGACGGCAATCGATCGGCGTCTCTCTGCTTTGTCTTTACATCTTTACTTTAATTTCCTTGACTCTTCGACTCTTCTTGAATATCCCTGACTCTCATTTAATTTCCAATTTCATTTCCCTGATATTTCGCCATTTCCAGTGGCGGTGAACCAGGCCCCTTCCCGCTGACGTATTGACCCGAATTCGCCGACCTCACCCCTAAGGCCGCATCATCGGCTTTACACCTCGCAGGACGAGCGAATTGTCCAGTTGCCTTCTCTCGACTGTCTCAATATACTGTCCTAGATGCTTCCCTTTACCTATTAACGCGTGTAAATCAAGCCCACCGGACATGCCGACTTGCGATGGACCGACCTGCTGAACATAACAAAATGACATCCCACCTTGAAGATCGGACCACTACCTCGGCCTCCGACATCCCTTTGAAAGATCTCGAATCTGCCTCTTTGGAATCGGACTCCACGATCACACCCCGCTGGAATGGTTTCTCTCAATTTCACCCCTCAAACATCCTCGCGCACCCCGAGGGACTGACACCGAAGATGTCGCAAGAGGACTGGCAGGCATATTCTGAAGACACATGGCACAGGTTGACACTTGCGCTCACGCCAAGTTTCCTACAACACTTGGTGGGCAGTTCGCCACCCCAGCCTGCGAAGCTCCACGCCATCGCGGCTCTAGATGGGCTGCGTGGCTGGGCCTGTCTGCTGGTCTTCAACTTCCACTTCTTTTTCACATACACATGGAAGGTCGCAATAGGATGGGGATTTGGCGGGGAAAACTTCGGAATTCACCAGTTGCCCATCTTCCATATGCTGATCTCCGGTCACATTATGGTGGCCATTTTCTTCGTCTTATCCGGCTACGTGCTGTCATATAAACCGCTGAAAACGATTCGGAGCAGGTCCTTCGATCAAACTTTCACTGTTCTCGCATCAGGCACTTTCCGTCGAGCAATTCGTCTATATATCCCCGCAATTACTGGGATTCTTTGCGTCTTCGTGGCTGTTCGTCTCGGGCTGTACAATTACTCCCACAGCGTCATCAAGGAGGGACACACAATCCTCGGCACTAATGAGCAACATCCGCGTGTGTATAAGTCCTTCTCAAAACAAACCGATGACTTGTGGGACACCTTGGCGAACTTGATGAACCCATTTGACTATGCGCTCTACTACAACTATTATAATCCACACCTTTGGACAATTCCTCTCGAATTCCGCTCCTCACTTATCCTATTCGTCGTCATCATGGGGACCTCACGCTTGGTGGCACCTGTGCGCATGACGGTAGTTTCTGGCTTGGTTTGGTTCTGCATGCGTTATGGTCGCTGGGAAATCGTCCTATTCCTCTTTGGCATGCTGATGGCCGAAGTGGATCTCATCAATGGAATCTGGGAGCCGTCCGCACGACCGGCGGTAGGAGACGATAAAACAACCATTCGCCTCAGTCTCGGCAGCAAAACTACAATCAGAGTGTCCCGCCGCGGGCTATGGATCTCACTCTTCGTAGTCGGTCTTTACTTCGGTTCATGTCCCAATATCGGTTTCAAATGGACGCCTTTCTACAGCTGGCTGTGGGACATCACCCCCGCGACCTACCCAGAGCCGCACCGCTTCACCCAGACTATCGGAGCCGTCCTCATTGTCTTCTCTATCAATCACTCCCCTGATATCCAGAAACTCTTCACCAATTCCTTCTCCCAATACCTAGGCAAGATCTCCTTTGCATTCTACGTCGTCCATGGCCCCGTCCTCCATTGTCTGGGCTACTCCATCATGCCTAATATCTGGAGGCTCACCGGTAAAGAGACAAACTTCCAATATTGCCTTGGATTCCTCATTGGCTGGCTGATCTGCCTCCCTGTCGCCATCTGGCTAGGCGATGTGTTCTGGCGTGCCGTGGATATCCCTAGCGTCAAATTTGCGCGCTCGCTCGAAGATCGTCTCATTTTCAAGGGTCCAACACTCGGTCGCCCAACCCTGGCTACCCGTGCAGCGTGAAATTCTTCGTTGCCTTGACATGAACCTGTTTATACTAGACCGCGATTGTCTAGTGGTTGGTTTTCCTGTCTTACTACACCTGTACTCCATATGATACCTGCTCGCTGGGCGAGGCATTTTGGTTATTTTTACTGCATTGTACTGTCGGTGTCTATTATCCGTACTTTCTGTTACTTAGATTCGTGATTGAAGCAAGACTGTCACGCCATACACTCCTTCAACAGAAAATGAAAGTAAATGCATATCTCATTCAAGCAGTCAAATCCTGACAGCGTGGTTGACCCCTGTCATCAACACTAGTTGTTCCCAAAGAGGCTACGAGCTCGAGGTAATGTGATTCCAGTGATTTACGTAGAACACACACCCAAGACCATGCTCAGCCAATAGCAAAATGGTACATATCCAATGTATAGTTCATTCATTCGTTCACTCGTACCAAACAAATCAGAAGTATGGCCAATCAATAGACACAAGAGTCGCCCATGAAGATCACCGGGGGTTCTCACTCAACCTATGCAAAGAACGTACCGGGTCCGACACAGAGAAGCCGACCGGTACTAGCGAAGCACACAAACAGCAAAGCAAAGTAAAATAGGAGATGCCGTGCGCACGCGAAGCAATAGATCGCGGCAAACAGAAACAAATATCAAAGAGATTGGGCCATCTAATGCAAGGGCCATGGTTGTCGGAAAGCTTCAGGGAAGAGAAGAGACGTCGTAAGGAAATCAAGACTTCTTTTTTTTTTTTTTCGTTGGCTCATAATGCAACTCCCGTTAGGCCTCGTCCGCCGCACACTCCCAACCATTCCCGTGGTTGGCCGGTGTGGTTGGGGCCGCCTTGTGGTGACCAGCTGATGTTGGACACTTCGTATTCGCTCTGCCAGACGCCGGCTGGGCCGCGCTCCGAGGTTGTGGAGGGCGGTGCTCCTGGGGTGGAAGAGGGAGGGGAGGCGACTGGTGCAGCATTGTGCTGGTTGATGAGGTCCCAGAGGAGAACCATGCTATCGTCGCCGCCGGATGCGAGGATTCCGCGACGGCTTGGAGACCACTCTACGCAGTTCAAGGCAGCCGAGTGGCCCTTCAGTTCCAATAGGGCTTGGCCTGGTTGTCGGACGTCAAGAACGCGGACAACACTGGAATCCTGTGAGAATGTTGCCAGGAGATGGGCATCATGAGGGGATGCTAGGATATTGTGTTAGCCTGCGATTATACTCTGTGTTGGGATCGTGTCGTCCATACCTGCGATTCTCAACAAAGGCGGAGGGTAGAGGCCGGTCTGCGATTGACCAGGGGGGCTAGAGCTCCCAGGGGTCATCACTGCTGAAAATATTGTCAGTATCCAGAGCCCATAATTATATTCTGGCAGGCACTTACGCTTCTCGTTCTTATCCGTCGGCTCGTAAATGATTGTGCTATGCTCAAGGCTTCGCAAATCAAACATCCGCACACTGCCATCAGCGCCACAGCTTACAAATACATCGACACTGTTAGCACAGAAGCGAACATCATACACCTCTTTGTCGTGGGCAATCAGTTGTGTCTTCGCTGTCAATGTGGGGATATCCCAAATGGTGCAAGTTGTATCAATGCTCGAAGTGATGATCAGACTTGGAGAAATTGTATTCCAGTCAAGAGAAGTGATGGGAGCAGTGTGCTCAGGGGATTTTGAGTTAGACAGCAAAGCCAGCGGGGAAAGCTTGGAGGTGGCAGGATCTCGCTGGTTCATTGGACGAGTGATCGAGTTTGAGCTTTGAAGAGGCTGAGAATTCGGTAGTGACCATAACCGCAGGTGATCTCCTGACGTGGCCAGCAAATCAGTCGATTGCTTCTGAGATGAGGGAGGTTCCCAGAGAATGCGGGTAACTGGGTAAGAATGTGTCGCCTCAGCCGTTTTCACATAGTCCAGTTTGATTTCTCCCGCAGCCGCATCTGGCGTGTCGGGATCTGGTTGTGTCCAGTGTGCATCGAGGATTTGAATCTATCCACTGGTTAACATAAACATAGTAATCCATAGGATCAATGCACATACATAGTTGTGGCTGTCTTCTAAATAGCTTCCCATGGCTAACTTTCCACCAAAGCCCGAGTTGCCTGTGATAGGCCATTTGCACCAATCCACTGCATATATAGGCCATGGTGCCACGTAATTGCTGTTGGTCGGCACCTGGTTATCTCCGTTGTTGTAAGGCATGGATGATATTCCGGGGTTCATAAGTGCCTCGCTCAACATGTGTTCACCGGAGGGCCTGATGTCAGACAGACCTAGGGGAGAGTACTTGGAGCCTTGCGGGGTGTGAGGCTGAAATCCTCCAGGAGAGGAAGGATATTTGGAGCCATCGGGCGCACCATGTTGTTTGTACATGGATTGGTCGAACCCGGCCGGGCTAGATCGCGAATGTCCATGTGAATTAATCATGCTGGCTCGGTGATTGGTTTGCGACGACTGCGGCATGGTGGGGACGACCGATGGAGCGGTATTTATTGATACTGCGACA